TGGGTTATTTGCACTTTTTAAAAAGTTTGGGCCTATAGTTGCAATTTATTGGATTGTTTTTCTTTTCTTTTCTTTGTGTCTAAATTGAATGGAGGGTAAAATTGTTATAAAACAGTGAAAATGATGTTCAGCGCACCAAAACCCCAAAGGTAAGGGCATAAATGCCAAGAAATGAAAGGTAGGAACGGTTTCCGAAATTCACCCCAAAAGTAGGGACGTTTTGTGCTAATTAGCCCCAAAACAAAAGTAAAAGTACTAAAGGGCCCTTAAGTATAGCTTCATCACTGCTCAGTGGCATTCCAGTAATATGTCCACAAAGTAAGGGCCAATGTTTTCAAACTTATCACTGACTATGACAGTTTTCACTCATAACTTCCGCTTGGTAGCCATTGAAGGCCACGCTTTGGCTTAAATCTTAAATTTCTCGCTTTTTTCAATTTCCACTGATTTTTTTCTATTTTCTTAGCCATTTTTTCTCTCATTATGTAATCCACTCAACCACCATTCATATGCCATAATTCAGTTTTGTTTCATACACACGCACTGCATTGACATTCTCTCCGGAAGAAATGGCGGTTGCCGACAATTCCACCGGCTCCGGTGGATCTTCAGGCAGCTTTTTTACCTCCAGAACCCCGATTCTTGGTCAAAAACTCGATGTGGTAATCATAGCGGTAGTTGTTGTAATGCTGATAATTTTCCTGTTAATTTTGTTTTTCCTCCGTTTGAATCGGAATTCAAAGCGACGACGCATTGCCGTGAAGCACAGCTCAGGACTGTTTCCTTTAGAGATCAACGAAATCAAAGACTCGGATCGCACTGAAAGTCGTAAAGTGAACGAGCTGGAAAACACAAACGTAACGTTTTTGGTAGAAGACGTGGTGAAGGGTGTTGAATTCGGTAAAAAAGGAGGCTCGGAGAGCACTGAGTTGGATTCGAATCGGAGTGCGTCGTCATCTTCGGTGACGGTGTCGAGTGATGGGGTGAATAACTACGGATGGGGCAGATTGTACAGTTTGAAGGAGCTGAAAATTGCAACCAATCAATTTTCCGACGAGAATGTGATTGGAGAAGGGGGTTATGGCATTGTTTATCGAGGCATTTTGCATGATGGCTCTGTAATTGCAGTTAAAAGTCTCCGAAACAACAAGTAAGTATTTCCTCTACTTTTTAAAAATACACTATCATGCTTAAATTTGCGGAAGGTAGCCAACAGTCTAGTATATTTAACAACAAAGTCTTGTTTCTGAATAAATTTGAAGTCGGCCGTGTGGATTATTTTCTATGTTGGATTGAATTGTGTAAAACTTAATGCTGATGGATGACGGTGATGTTCGTTCATTTTCTAATTCATGTTTGAATTGTAGGTTTATGATTGTCTCTTTTTCTTATTTAATTTCTGTTTTGAGTTTTTGATTTATAAGTGGAGAGGATTAATATATTTGTTGAGTTCTTTAGATGGAATTGGAAGGGAATCAAAGCTTCATAGATCTTGATTGTATTGAATTCAGTGTCCAGATGACTAATTTTTGTCTCTTTTGACTGTGGATTAAAGTAAAACAAAGTAAACGTTAGCTTTTGTATCTTTAGTACTTTATGTGCTGTATGATTCCATCGTTAAACTTTAATTCCATCTTTTGCCTATAATTAATTTTCATTTTAGTGTTGCAATTCACTTTGTTACTTTATTTTATATTGATTAACTTTCTTCCTTTTCTTTTTCTGCCTGAATAACTTTCTGCCTTTTCTATTTATTAATGGGATAAGTTTGCTGGTTTTACGATGATACAATTCAATTGGCAATATTGGTAAGATCTGAATACAAGGATATGTTAATTTCTCTAGGCCAGTGACTTATTGATAAATAAATTTGGCCGGGTTGGACTAGATACTCTCGATTGCTAGCAGATATATCTATGATGCAAGTTGGTCTGCATCACATTTCTATTTCGTAATTCAAAGCTGTCAACATTAACATTGTGCTATACAAATAGGAATGGAGGGTATAGGCAGAGCATCATAAGTGACCTGACAATAAAGCTCGGAAATTTTGAACTATGTTATTCATTTTCCCAGAAGGATATCATAGTCCATAGGTATACTCAACCTTGTCATAGGAGCTTTTAGGGAAAATAGCATCACGAATGAAACAGGTGACTTTCAATGGGATTTTTTTTTTTTGGACGAAGTCCCTTAGTGGGGAATTAAATGTTACAATTATTGGAGGTTTGGGATCCAAATGGCAATGAGTTTTGATTGGGGTCTCAAGCGCTTATTTATGAAATACACGAGCAGGAAATAGGAAATTTGTGAACCACAACGATTAAATGATTGAGCATAGCAGAATGTAGAATATGATAGCTAAATTCCATCTGCTGTACAGTTACACACTACGGAACATGCAGCTACTTAAGTACTTTCTTTCTACTTTGGTAGACATCTCATGCTCTTTTAAAAATGAAACAGCTATTAGTTAAAATTGATTACACTTTTTGTTACTTCCAAACATATGAAATGTATTCTAATGCTGTTTCATCTTTTAATGATAGGGGTCAGGCAGAGAAGGAGTTCAAGGTGGAAGTTGAAGCCATTGGAAAAGTAAGACACAAGAACCTTGTGGGTCTGATCGGGTTTTGCGCAGAAGGCACTCAGAGGTATAACTCACTAGCCATTTTGTTTTTCTTGGGTATAATCTAGATCTCTCTTTTCTCTTGAACTCATAAATAATTACTGCATCCTGCATTCAGGCTACTTGTGTACGAGTACATTGATAATGGCAATCTGGAGCAGTGGTTACATGGTGATGTGGGGCTGGTTAGCCCTCTCACTTGGGAGATCAGGATGAAAATTGCCATCGGGACAGCAAGAGGGTGAGACATTCTTATTCGTCCACCAGAATCCTGGTTCATCTTGTGTGTAATTGATTACTTTTCTAAAAACTTAGCATGCTGTCTATTTCTCTTCGTTGCCACTTGATATTTCATCCCTTTAATGTTATTTTTCGCTGTCAATGTGTAATATTTGTTCTTTTAGCACTATCTGGTGAAGTTTCGGGAAGATGTTTTCAATGTTGATGTATTTATTAGGAGTTATAGCTAGAAAGAACGAAAAAAAAAAGAAGAAGAAGATAGGAATAGACATATTGGAATATTTTGAACACCATTGAAAAGCTGATGCCTGGGCACAAGTGCTACTTTGCATTGTTAGGAGGTTGTGTGAGTATCTTTCTCGATTGATTGACTAGAAATATACAAAGCCAGCTGCTAATCTTGATGTCATTCTGTTTTAATAGCTCTAAATCGAACATCTTTGTCATTGTTATATGCATCATGTATACATGGATATTCCTTAAACCATTCTACTTATATATGCTGTCTAAGAAGGAATATGGGAACTTGTTCTTAGCATTATGATATAAAATCTTACAATCAATTTATTGCACAACCATTGAAGTGACCCATGGTGTGATTTTAAATTGCTATATACCTGCATTAGTGTTTTCCATCATAAGATTATTCAGTTAAGAAGTTTATAGTTATTGAGCAAGAAGTTATTTCAGTACTGCTTATTTTGCCTTGACATCTCCGTCATATCACCGCTTTATCAATTTTTTATAATTATGTGATTACAGTGGAGAATATAATTTCTGAAGATGACCACAAGCATTCCTAAAAATTATCAAAGGTTAAAATTCATATATAAAAGCTTCTAACTTACAGTTATCCTCATATTTTTTTGGTTGCAGGCTGGCATATTTGCATGAAGGTTTGGAACCCAAAGTTGTGCATCGTGATGTAAAGTCCAGCAACATTCTTCTTGATAGGAAATGGAACCCTAAAGTATCTGATTTTGGACTTGCCAAGTTATTAGGATCTGAGAAAAGCTATGTTACAACACGAGTGATGGGAACCTTTGGGTTTGTTTTCTTTTGACTTTCATTATGATTTTCCATCAAGTTATAAAGCAAATGGCGAAATTCTTGTTGCTTCTCATCAATCCTTTGCTAATAATTATCTTTGCATGTTGCTATAGATATGTTTCCCCTGACTATGCAAGTACAGGAATGCTCAACGAGGGGAGTGATGTATATAGTTTCGGTATTTTACTGATGGAGTTAATTACCGGAAGAAGTCCGGTTGACTATTCAAGACCACCTGGGGAGGTGAGTGAAGTCTTCTCCCTTGTCGAACTATCCCTTGCACCAGATGGAGCATGTTTGACTCAGCTTCAGAAAAGTGGAAATTACTTCTAAAGAACTTGTTAATATGTCTGGATATGTTATTTTTATTTACTTCTCAATAAAAAAGTTACTCATTTTGAAGTAACTCTTACACTAATGTCAAAAAAAGTAATTTACTTATTTTTTTTTTTTTTCAGGCAAGAACAAGAACTATTTATTTTATAATTTGGTTATTTATAAGTAGACCTTTTAGCAGGCAAACATGCTTCACATTTATAATTTTCTATCTCCTGAATCAATTCCAGATGACCTTGGTCGACTGGTTCAAAGGGATGGTATTAAGTCGTCGTGGAGAAGAGTTAGTGGACTCCATGATTGATGTTCCTCCTCCTTCAAGATCTTTAAAGAGAGTACTACTCATCTGCCTTCGCTGTATAGATTTGGATGCCAACAAGCGTCCAAAGATGGGGCAAGTTGTACACATGCTTGAGGCAGATGAATTTCCTTATCGCACAGTGAGTGAAATCCTTCCACTGCATTTTGTTACACAATATACGAGCTAGTATCTTTTACTATGAATTGGTTATTTGATTGTTATTTCTCTGCCCATATCCTCAACCTTTCTCACTGAGAATATGTAAATTGCTTCTAATTATAATTCTCACTCACAGGCAAGCCTTCCAATTTTATAACATGGTAGATAAGGTTGATTGGATAATAATCATAATATTGGTTAATAAGCCCCTCTCCCTTTTTTATGGGCACGTTTCTTTTTGGAACTCATTTTCAATCACATTTACATAATAAAATATTTTGCACGCAAGCTCAATTTTTTTTCCTACTTTTTTAACCTCATATTCTTAAAAAAATCACTATTCCAAAAATCATTTCCCCCAAAAATATTTTAAAAGGGAGACAAACAGAGGCTAAATAAGAAAAGCTAGTTAACTTCTTATCTAGTACTCTATAGTCCGCTACTAAGCACTAAACATGCTCGTAGTGTGCAAGTCAAGGACTTCTCGTGAAGATCGCCAAATCTTCCCATCTTAGGATCAATAAATCCATATGATGTTTTTCTACAACCTAGGTCACTTGGACTAATATCTTTCTTTTCTTATAGCTTTAATCGTCTATATAAATTAGCTCTTCCATTTCTTACAGGAACCTCGATCTACCTGTGAAACATCTCCTCTACATCCCCGAACAACTCGTAACAACAAAATTCTATTCTCACCTGAGGATGCGGCGAATAACGATGTACAAAAATCTAGGAGGAGATGATGATTGTTGATGGTGATGCATACTAGTTTTATAGTGAGTAATACTTATTTACGAAGTTACACTCGTAAGAAAAGGAAGTGGAATGATTGCTTATCGGTATCTCCTGGTACATCGTGGTTCTTTAATTACATACTGTAATTGTCATATAACAATCTAAGTGAGCCTTGTATATACAAGTACATGACATGTATGTTTGATATGCACTATCAGATTAGGATAGGCATAATAAGCATTTTAATTTTCGCTTCTTATTTAATAATATTCAGTGTTGTATAATCAACTTATCAAATATGCCATATATGTGCCAAAAACATATTGATTCAGTTTTTTGACACTTTCTTATGTTTTGAGCTTGATAATTGATAAGAGTATTATTTAATGAGACTATTGGGTTTGAGCCTTGGGCATGATCCGAGCCCAACTTAAAGTTTGGATTGTGTAAGCCTATGGGTCACTTGTAATATTTTTAGTGGTAACTACATCCCACCACCAGAATTTTTAACATCTAATTTCAAAAATGAGATATGAAGTTTGTTTATACAAAAATCAGATTTTAATTTTTAATTCAAATATTTAGTATTATTAATACAACCAAAATTAATCATAAACCCTAAAGGCCCGTTTGATTGCAAATGTGAAAATTGGGTGGAAAAAAAATATTTTACAGTGAATTGATTTGCTTAAAAATTGTTTTACTGAGAATTGTAATTAATTGTGTTTGATTGGTATAATTTTCAATGGAAAATGTTGAAAGCTTGGTGTCCGTTTGACTTCATTTCTTTTATGAAAATTGTCCATTAAAATGACATTTTTTTTTTCCACAATTGATTATAAAATTTGTTTCCGTTGTGTTAAAAAAAACGAAAATTTTTTTAATCAAAGTTTAGTATTCGTTTGACTTTGTTTTACATGAAAATTGTCCATTAAAGTGAATTTTTTTTTATAACTAGTTATGAAATTTATTTTTATTGACAAAAAAAAAAGACACCAGCCGCCTAAAAACAAGGAAATAAGGCTCGTGGGTTGGGGACTTGGGGGGGTGGCAAAAATTTTCTTCGTCAAATTTCTCCCATAAAAATAACCATATCGAATACCATTCATTCTGCATGAAAATTGTCAATAAAAGTGATAATTTTGTTTACCATTGCGTCTAGAATTTTTTCCAATTACCCAAAAAAAAAAAAAACAAAAACCTGAAAAATATTTACCAACCAAAATATGGTGTATCCAACGGAGCTTAATTACTCTCATTTCTCTCTTTACATCTCGCAATACGTATCTTTTTCTCTTACATGGCAACCGTCCTCTCCTACGGAGGTGAAGTTTTAGGGTAGTTTTTGTTTGTGGTTATTGATGTTGTGCAAATGTGGTGATACTGTAGGTGGTGATGGTGAGGTGGATCTGTGACTATGATTTGTAAATTGTTACCTCTGTATTGATCCAGTGGCCGATGACTAGTTCTCTTGGATTTGTGACTTGTGGACATTTATCTATTACCTATGCAATATGACATGTGACTCGTCAATTGTTACATGTGACTTGTAACATATGAACTGTGACCTGTGAGCTTGAATCTCTTACTTGTTATTATGCACAAAAACATGTGGCATCTGATATGTGATCAAATAATATTGATATGTGACCTGTTGATATTGATCTATAACTTATATAATATGACATGTGACATGTGAACTTAAATTAGTGATCTGTGATCAGTTCCATTTGATTTGTAACATATTCACAATGACATATGACTTGGTATTTGTAACCTATGACATTTGACATGTAACAACTGTACATTGAGCTTTGACGACTGAATTATAACTTATAACAAGAGACGTGACATGTACAAATGAACATGTAACCAGTAGCATTTAACAGTACACTTTATGAACGTGTGACCATCGACGCATGACCATTGTCGCACCAGCAGCAGCAGCAGCCCCACCACCACCCCACCACCACTATTTGCAAACTGCCACCATTCTACCACCACTAGCATTATTACCATTTCGACGACTGACAAAACCAACAAAATAGAGGAGATCAACGGTTTTAATTTCCACTATCAAGACCAATAAAAACCACATCAAAACTCTGACTAATTAATCGTCACTTTTGGTCAACTGAGAAAAAGTCATCGCAAAACACCATCAATTCCGTCGAATTGTGCACAGGGGCCCTCCCTCAATTGATTATGTTGGATTGTGGTATTTAGAGAGAGAAAAAAAAATCAGAAGATAAGAGGTAGATAGAGAGAGTGCGTGTGTTTAATAATATTATTATTAATATTAGAAAGTGAATTATGACCTAATTAAGTAAACAAATCTGAAACTTGATTTTTGAAATGCAATATTAAAAAACCTGCCTCCCTTTAATTTCCACTGCTTTTAAAAGAAAAATAACATTTAATTTTTTTTTCTTTTTTCTGACAAATTGCCAAGCCTGTCGACTTGCCACCTCAAATGGGGCCACAACTAAGGCCAAAACTAATGTTAAAAAGTCACATTTGGCACATAACAAAACTGAATAAGATGCCAATTTTTTTCTCTTCCAAGTGTTACCCAATATCAAACAAGTTTGGAATTACATATCCTAGTAAAATATTGCAATTTAGCATACACCTACAATATTTAGAATCGATGTTGAATCACATATAACTAAACAAATAAATAAAAGCATTGGACACAAATTATCAATTTCCTACTCATTCCACTTCAATACGTGATGCACACACGTTAATCGCCTTATTTGAAAGTTTACTTTTAAAAACAAATAATGAGTATAACTTGCCCTTAGTACGCTCTTTTTAATTTCTAATGTGCGTACAACATATAAAAAATTCAAGCAAGACTTGAATTTAAACCTTTTACCAAAACTATTAGAGATAAAATTGATAGAAGATATAAAAGGGATTATAGATTCAAATGCTTTAATCAAATCCTTTTTTTTTTTTTTTTCATATAAATCCTAAATAATACTACATGTTGAAACAAGAGAAAATAACAAAAATATAAATATGCATTGATCCATGTTGTTTGATTGTTTGCCTGAATGAGTTACGATCTTCTAATTGATTGGTGATCTTCTCTTCAATTTCACTCTCTGTTGATGGGGATACAGAGAATCTGAAGAACACAATCAAAATGGGAACCATAACTTAATATAATAATAATAATAACTGAAGAGTCATTATCTTTCAGTTGTTTTAAATTGGACCCCTCATCAATTTAAAACAACATTCCAGTCTCTACACTATATTTTCATGAAACATAATACCTATTAGTCAAAATACAACTTTAACGGATCACTTTAATTGACTAATATACTTTAAATAATAGCACCACACATTTTAATATATTACGCGTGGCTCCATATATGTTAGAATTTTCCAACAATCTCCTACTGGGCCATACGTATAATCTTTCAAATATTCACAACCTTATGAGCTCAAAATTTTGCTATCATTATTATGGGTATTACCAAACAATCTCGTCCATTAGTCACATTGATATAGGATCAAAGCGATTTTCGTCACATTTAACGTGACTAAATCCATCAATTGTCACATATACCCAAAAACAAGAGAAAATAACAAAAATATGAATATGCATTGATCCATGTTGTTTGATTGTTTGCCTGAATGAGTTACGATCTTCTAATTGATTGGTGATCTTCTCTTCAATTTCACTCTCTGTTGATGGGGATGCAGAGAATTTGAAGAATACAATCAAAATAGGGACTATAACCTAATATTATAATAATAACTGAAGAATGATTATCTTTTAGTTGTTTTAAATTGGACCCCTCATCAATTTAAAACAGCATTCCAGTCTCTACACTATATTTTCATGAAAGCTAATACCCATTAGTCAAAATACAACTTTAACGGATCACTTTAATTTACTAATATACTTTAAATAATAGCACCACACATTTTAATATATTACGTGTGACCCCATATATGTTAGAATTTTCCAACAATCTCCCATTAGGCCATACGTATAATCTTTCAAATATGCACAACCTTATGAGCTCAAAATCTTGTTATCATTATTATGGGAATTACCAAACAATCTCGTCCATTAGTCATATTGATACAGGATCAAAGCGGTTTTCGTTACATTTAACGTGACTAAATCCATCAATGGCCACATATACCCATATAACCAAATGACATAGATCAATCATGTGAGTGTAGCATAAAAATTACATGTTATGTGATTCAAA